ATTTCTGTAGTATAGGTGTGAGTTCCTCTTTGAATGTTTGGTAAAACTCTGAAGTGTAGCCATCTGGCCCGGGACTTTTATGTTTTGAGAGGTTTTTCATTGCTGCTCCAATTTCTGAACTTGAGATTGGTCTATTCAGATATTCTGTAGCCTCTTGGGTGAAATTAGGGAGGTTGTATGTTTCCAGGAATTTGTCCATTTCCTCCTCATTATATAGTTTTTGGGCATATAGGTTTTTGTAGTAATCAAAAATGATGTTTTGTACTTCCGTGGCATCTGTTGTGACCTCTCCTTTTTCATTTTTGATTGAGTTTATTAGAAACCTTTCCCTTTGGATTCTAGTCAATCTAGCACGTGGGGTGTCAATTTTGTTTATCTTTTTAAAAAACCAGCTTTTCGTTTTGTTAATCTTCCGTATAGTTCTCTTGTTCTAAATTTCATTTAGTTGTGCTTTGGTCTTAGTTATTTCTTTTCTTCTATTTGGATTGGGATTGGTTAGCTCTTCCTTTTCCAAGTCCTTGATTCTATTTATTAGGTTGTCGTTTTGTGAACTTTCTGCTTTTTGGATATGAGCATTTATTGCTATTAGTTTTCCTCTCAGGAATGCTTTTGCTGTATCCCACAGGTTTTGATACCTTGTTTCTCCATTATCATTTAGTTTGAAGAAGTTCTTGATTTCCCTCTGTATTTCCTCCTGGATCCAGGAGTTAGTCAACAATAGATTGTTTAATTTCCATGACTTTGTGAGGTGGTGAGTATTTCTGTTGGAATTGAACTCTAATTTTAAATCACTATGGTCCGAGAAAGTACATGGTATAATTTCTATTTTTCTGAATTTGTTGAGGTCTGATTTGTGTCCTAGTATGTGGTCAATTTTGGAGAAATTTCCGTGGGCTGATGAGAAGAATGTAAATTCAGCCTTATTTGGGTGGAATGTTCTGTAGAGATCTGTCAGACCCTTTTGTCCAAGAGCTCTGTTTAAGCCCGTTATTTCTTTGCTTACTTTCTGTTTGGAAGATCTGTCCAGTTCATTCAGTGGAGTGTTGAAATCCCCTGTTATTATGGTGTTATTGTTTATCATGTTGTTTAGAACAGACAAAGTTTGCTTTATGTAACTGGGTACTCGTGTATTGGGTGCATAGATATTAAAGATTGTAAACTCTTCTTGTTGGATCTTCCCTTTCACCAATATATAGTGGCCATCTTTGTCTTTTTTTACTTTTGCTATTTTAAAGCTTATGTTATCTGAAAATAGTATACCTATCCCTGCTTTCTTTTGATTTCCATTCACCTGGATGATAGTTTTCCATCCCTTGATCTTTACTCTGAAGGCATCTTTGTGGATTAGATGCGTTTCCTGTAGGCAGCAGATGCTAGGCTTGTGGATTTTTATCCATTCTGCCAGCCTGTATCTTTTCAGAGGACAGTTCAGGCCATTCACATTTATTGAGAGGATTGAGATTTTTGGTAGGTTTCCATTCATATTGTTGGGTGAAATCCTGTTGTTTTGTTTTGCTCCTTGAGCCATCATGAAATCCACGTTCTAGGCTTTAACTCTTGAATGATTTTACTTCGAAGAGTGTCTATTATGCTGTTCAGTGTGTAATGCAGGACTGAGTATTGCCTGTAGGACTGGTTTGGTCTCTGCAAGATCTATCAGTGATTGCTTGTCTGGGAAGGATTTTATTACTCCCTCGTAGATGAAGCTTAATTTTGCCGGATAAAGAATTCTGGGTTGGGCATTATTTTGTTTTAGTAGATTAAGGATAGGGACCCAGTCCCTTCTGGCTTGTAGGGTTTCAAATGAGAAATCAGCAGTTAGTCTGATCAGTTTTCCTTTACAGGTTGTTTGTTGCTTTCGTCTCACTGCTCGAAGAATTGTTTCTTTCATGTTTACTTTGGTCAGTCTTATAACTACGTGATGTGGTCAGATTGCCTCTTCACATTGAGTCTCCCAGGACTTCTGTGTGCTTTTTGTATTTGGATGTCCAGATTTCTGGCCAGGCCTGGCATATTTTCCTCCAGTATTCCATGAAATAAGTTTTCCAGCCCTTGAGTATCTTCTTCTTCTCTCTCTGGAAGACCGATGATCCTAAGGTTCTGTTTCTTTACATAATCCCACATTTCTTGAAAGTTTTGGTCTTTCTTTTCTTTTCTTCATCTGATTTATTCAGCATGTAGACATTATCTTCAAGCTCTGAGATTCTTTCCTCTGCATGATCCTTTCTGTTCTTGAGGCTTTCCATTGTGTTTTGAAGTTCCCTGAATTCCTCCTTCATTGACAAAATTTCTGTTTGGTTTTTCCTTAGTATTTCAATTTCTTTGGAAAATTTTTCATTCATTTCCTGGATTGTTCTTGTGGTTTCTTTATGTTGGGATTCTATTTTCTCTTCTATTCCGTTCAGTTTCCTTGTAATTCATAATAGGAATTCTTCCTCTGTCAGTTTAATCGTATCATGTACGTTGGTGTCTGTTGATAGAGATCAAATATTTTGTTTTGGAGGTGACTTTTCTCTCTGATCTTTCATGTTTTCTGTGTTCTTTTGCTGATTCTTTCTCATCAGGCTACTTTGTCAAGGACTGGAGGTGCTCTGACTGGTTTATGAATTTAATTTTAGGGCTCCAAAGGGATGTTCCTTGGCAGAGCTGAAGAGATGTTCCCTGGTCTTGTGCTGTCTTGGTGAGGTTTTGGCCTGTTGGGTTACCTCTGGCCTGTTGTCTGCTCCTTCTGCTTACAGAGATTAGTGAGTTTCTTTTCCTTGCTTAGCTTTCCAGGAGTTGGCTCACTTTTGTGTGTGTGTGACTCCACTATTCACTACTTGGTTGAGGTGGAAGGCACTGGGTTTAGTTATGAGGTTGCTCTCTCTTTTGTTGTTTGAATTTTGCATGGAGGAATCAGTTGTCAAGGTATTCCAGAACCTTTGAATTGAGCTCTAAAATCTCAAATGGGACATACAAAAGCCTGAGTCTTTGGGAAATGTTTTGCCACTTCCAAGTGCTACTTCAGCCTTGTTACCACTTAAGATGTGGTGAGAAGAGCAGCAGGAATCAGCATGCCAGAGGCAGTATACTTCAGAAATTGCTTGATCTGTAGCTAGGAGAGAGCTGCTAACATGTTATTCAGGGTTCATTAGGCACTCTTGTGGAGGAATTCCTAATGGGTGTGTCAATTGGTGCAATTGCTAAGGACTCTGGTCGAGATTTTCCTTCCCAGACCAATAGCCCCTAAGATGACAACAGCGTGGGAATCAAGCGCAAGCTTTTGTGTTATGTTCTTGTCAGGTGTTCAAAACCGATCAGCTGTATCACGTCAACAAACTGTCCCCTTTTGCTTAGATCCAAGGCCGTACAGATTCAGGCTAGTCCTATGGGGAAAGTATTTTTTCTCCTTTCTCCCTACCTTCAGGGGTGGGCTCTGTCCTGGAGGGCTGTGGGAGGGGCGTTGGCTGAGACTGTCACAAGGCCCGGCCTGAAAAACGTCTTCTCTCATTTCTTTCCTCCTCTGAAGGTGAGTTTTCACCTTCCAGAGGGGGAGATAATCCCCCAGACTGGGGGAAGGACACTTCCTGAGGCTACGTGGCATCTCAGCTCAGGAAGTGGCGACCCTTATTATTCCACCCCTTCAAGGGCAGGGTTGACTAGCTGGTAAGAAGTACACACTTCGGGGCTGCTAGAGAAGCCCTGCCTAAGGCCCCTGAGGGACCCAGCCCAGAAAGCAGCCTGTCCTGCTATTCCACCCCAGCAGATGTGGAGTCAGTCTCTTTGGTACACAATATCGGTGGTCAGATCATAGTCAAGAGTCATTCACCACCCCTACAGGGTCACAGTCCAGAGAACAGCTTCCATTCTTCCTCCACACTACCAAGGGTGGGGAACTAATTCTTTGGGAGGAGGCACTGATTACCAAGTCACAGCAAAAATGAGGCTACAGGACCCTGCTGCGAAAACAGCCTCCTTCACTCTCTACT